GCCATGAGGCTCTGTGTTCATTCTAGGTGGTGTTTCTTATGAGGCAGAGAGCAGTGGTCTGGAATGGGCTGTGTAGTTGCTCTCAATATTCAGCTGGGAAGTAACGAAATGAATTGTTCCCAATTCAGGTCAAATTTTAATTTCAGTCTGGACTTCTGCCCAAACTTCTACCCTTAAAACTAGCTGTAGGAGTAATAACATAAACACAACAACTGGAAGGATAGATGAGAGAATATAGATGACTTCTAATTTGATAGCACACAGCAGCATAATCAAGAGCCAAGAGATCCAGGGTCAGCGTTGGCCAAGGACTCCTTGAAAAGAGAAGTTTTGAACAGCGGTTCATCCTGTCCTGCCTGGGTTCTCTAGTGTGGTTTTATGTGCTGAACAGCTGCTCTCTCAAAAATCAAGAACCTCTAAGGAGTCACCCAGAGCCACTAGTCGCTCGGGAAAATTTGGACTTACTCAAATGATTCACTATGACGATCTTTGAGATCCTCTTGTTTTCATACGTAATCTCACAACAACAGTCCCAGTCCTGTCTTTAAGGGTAAGAAGAGGTGTGGTAGCTAGATAATTCTTTCAATTTGCCACTGACCATCTCAACAGTTCTTTCTCTGTTTCAGTAACTACTGGAAACCTTGAGGTTCAGTGCACCATTAGGGTAAAACAGTAACATTGTGAGTAGCATAGAGTTTAGCTGAAAGAGCCTTTGATGCCTCTGAGGTCTCCTGGTAGAACTTAATGCTTTCAGAATGATAGTTAATCTTTTGCTTTAGATCTCATTAGCCAAGGTAGAGGCTGCACAAAATTTCTGAAAAAGTCACATCTTTAAGTGTTCACGTAATAGGGGCAGGTTGTATTGGGCTACACAAAGGATTACAAGTCAGAAATGTCTGTGACCTGTTCTTACTTCTGTCCTGTTGAGTGACTGCAGGCTAATCCTTTAATTTCTTGTCTTCCTAGTCTTGAATCTCCTGGTTAAAATCAAGAGAGACTGATACTTACCACCAAGTGGGACATTGCAGGGTTTCATAGTACAGTTTGATTTGTATTGGGATTGGAAAGTGTCAAATAAGAACAGACTAATTGTGAACTGGCTCTGTATATAAGAGGACAGGCCCTACCCTGAATAGTTTTAGATGCTAAACAGTGAGAGAGGCTGGACTACGACAGAGATTTTGTTATCCTCATTTTTCAATTAGGAAGCAGGGCAATGGAAGATGAAGAGCAAGGATGAGTTCCCATAGGTTAAATTCTCAGCACATGAGTTACAGTGTGGTCACTGCTGCTGTGCCAATTCCTTGTCCCGCATAGTAACTACCAAGTACCTTAGTCTATTTTCACTGTGGACAGATCTAATATATATGTGCTTCCTAGTTTACCTCATGGCAATTCTTCTTGCAGTCACATACTGAGTAATCTAGCCAAAATCACAGAAGAGGTATTCAGTAATGCTAGCTACTAGCAAACCTAGACTTGATCTTGGGATGCAGGTAATGTTTTCTAAGGATCTTGGTGACGAAAGGTACTAAAAGCAGGTTTAGTATAATGAAAACCATCCTCGGGTATCAGTGATGGGTGACACCATCTGATGCTTTAATGGTACTGATGCTGAAATCATCAAATATCACTATCTATTGACACCTCGAATAGGAGGTGATGGGGTTCCTAGGGTTTCTTGCTAGCTTGCTTCTCTTTAGTAACTCTTCTGCTCTCCAGCTCATTAGACTTTACTTTGGGGCTCAGACAACTTATTGCGGTATTACTTTCCGTGGTGAATACTGCAACACAAGTTATGCTGGGTCAGAGGCACTCTTTCAGTCTCCAGAAAACTGCATCTCAGGGACTTCTTAGCCACATGTGCTGTCCTTGTATGGAGTGGTCCTTACAATTTTTTATTCTCTGAATTTTTGTCTGCTTTGAACCTAAAAAACTACCGACAATTTAGTATCATGTACATTTAGCACCACAGTTTTACTCTAAAACTGTGTATGACTGATCACAAGCACAGACATGGTATGAATGAGCTTTGAAGTGATATTTCCAGGGCATGAACACACCTAGGATTTATGTTTGAACGGTACAGAAATAAGCTATGCAACCAGGATAAAAAATGATTTACACGTTATTGACTAGCTGTCAGGTTGTTTCCACTTGCAATGTTCCGCTCAACCAAAAATGCCCTGAGATTGTTTTGATATAGTTTCTATGCTGGCACTTAAGTCTAGTGAATCCATTATAGGCAATCTCAAAGTTTTATGGCTAGTTTTCTCCTCAGTGGAAGTAATTCAGGGATTCTTTTTTCCCTTTCCCTGTCAAATGTCTATTTTGGACTTCATCGATCACACCAGTTCTCACTGTATGCTGCACTGGGTAAATGGGCTGGGCAAGGCACCCACTGCCTCCCAGCTCTGATATTCTTCAAGAGGATACCTAGTGGTTAGCCAATTGTTGCATCGACACTTTTCTCAGTGTGCAAATATCAGCTTTCACTTACTGAGCCCATGTAACGTAAATAACCCCTGGCAGACAGGCTGGGATTATACTACCTGTTTGAACTGAGAAGGCTGTTTGCCAAAAATAATTGATTGGATTGCATTTGTTGAGTCTGTCAGTTCAATGGTGCGTCATGGTAAGGGGTAATTTTAGAGAAAGCCAGAGACATGTAATATAGAACTGAGTGTGTGCTCTCAGGCCCAAGTAAAAAGATTTGATGCTACCAGAAAAGCTGTTTATACTTGTTAGTTGCACAGAACTTCATTAATGAAGTCAGCGAGGTATTATTCAGTGTAAAACGCAGGAAGCCAAGGTGTTCTGCATAGACAACTTCAGATTGATCAGGTTTTCTAGGGACAGCAGGAACTCCACAGGTAGCCTCCATTGTAAAAAAATTTACATTCAAATGGAAATATGTCTCCAATAACACTACAAAAGGTGAAGACTGGGAGTAAGCAAAGAAATCTGCTTAGCAGATAGCAAAGAAAAGAAGATCGATGTCTTACTTTCCCAGAGCGATTGTACTGCTGTTCATGCAACAGCTACAAAGATGACTCAGGAACAAAACCAATCCTGTAGCCACCGTTGCTTTGATGAAGGATGCATGTTGTACCTCTGCAAGAAAGATGCACCACAAAGGAGTGGAGGATCTATAGTCTTCAAACAGCATTGCTGCCATGTGTGGTGGTAAGAGTCTGACCTTCATTTTGTCTCCACTGTGCTTCACCTACAAATATTACTGGAAGCAAGGAGCATCGAAAATGGAAATCTCCTCTTCAAGCTAGAAACTTGAAACTGCAGAATTCTAGCTAGACTAGAAACTGCAGAATTGGCCAGATCCCAAGGTCTCACTCCTAAAACAATAAGTAAACATGACAAATAGAAAGCTTTTTCATTTAGAAACATTAATCTCATTCTTATTAAATTTATGGTTAGATAAAATCTGTATTCAAATGCTACCAATTACATGCGATACACTATATGAAGAGACGATCCAGAATTTTTAGCCCAATCGCAGAAGCAATAGCTGAACTGAACAACATATCTATGTACCTATATAGTCTAGACTCGTTATCTTACCCCATTCCCACTTCCCCCACCATTTTGCCAACATTCGTCTGGCCAATAAATATATGGGAACCGGTTTCCGACAGAGTTAATTACCTCTAATTGTGCCACTCTTGTTATCTGACCAGCTTTGACTTGTCATAAATTGCTCTGGTATGAATGTTGGCAAGATAAGAACTCTAGGCTCTCTGTGTGTATATAATATGTATGTATTTATTTATATATCTGAACATGTTAGATAGGCTGCTGAGGTAGATTGGATGAGTTATTTCATGCCTGCTGGGATTTTTCAGACAGCTGGCTGTGAGAAGTGCCTCAGGGACAGATACTGAGATGCTGTTCCTCAGTTCCCGCCTTCTGCTGCCTGCTCCAGCCCAGGGCGTTTGTGAGATGCCTTCAGTCATGACCCAACAAAGTCCGGGTTAATAAGAATCAGGGGGCGATCCAGGGAGTAGCATTGCTGGGATGACATAGTACTTCAACAAAGGCCAGTGCACAGTATGCTGGAATAAAAAATAGTTTAGATATCAATAAATAAAACATAGAAATCTGAGTTGGCTGAAAAAAGTCACAATTTATCTTTTGATATTTCCATTTCTGACATCTAGAGGCAAACCCGACGCCAGAAATGTCAGGGAAGAGATTAAGCAAGGAGGGATTCAAATTGAACTTCTGACTCTGAAAGGCATTTTTAATCAGTTAGGTTCCAGGGTCCTGGCTTATATAAATGTAGGAATGCTATTCACCTCCTTTGCAAAAAAAAAAAAAAAAAAAAAAAATAGCCCACAACAAAAACAACCGAAGGGGTTGTAATAAAAACCCAAATACATTAAAAACAATAAGGATGGTAGAAAAGAAGTTTTATTGTCAGGAAATTGATTCCAGGAAAATATACATTTTTTTTTGTCAGATGAAGGTTGATTTTGGTTGAACCTTCTGTCAGAAAAATCACAGTGGGATAATCTGTGTTGGTGGGGGTAGGAAGTAATTTTTTTTTTATATGTCTGAGTTGCGTTTGTATATCTCTCGAACTCCCGTTCATCTCTTACTCGGCAGTGGGGTTATATAGCCCTTTCGGCAGCCTTTCCCTAGGGCTGAACACTGCCCTGTAGCATGGAAATCCCAGCTCAGTGCCAATCAAATGTGCAAGTAATAAAAAGCTTGAGGTAATGCGATACCTTTCTTGAGGAGCTCTGAGAAACACTGGGTCATCTGCAAAAGGGAGAGATTTGACAGGCACCCTCAGTTCTCACTGCCCTCAGACATTTGTTATTACGAATTTTACTTCAGGTTATGGTCGTTCTCTCTACTCCACCACACTTCAGTTCCTCGCATGGAGCCAGTGTACACATTGTGTGTGCAGGTCCCTGTACAGTGTGAAAAATCTTCTGTCGTTGTCATTTCTAATATTTTCTTGCTGTATTTCTGTGTTGCAGATGTGGATGAATGCGCTTCAGATTCTCACCAGTGTAACCCCACCCAGATCTGCATAAATACTGAGGGGGGCTATACCTGTTCCTGCACTGAAGGCTACTGGCTGTTAGAAGGCCAGTGTTTAGGTAAAAAAACCTCATGCAATACGGTATTTGAGCATCTGTGTGTGTGTACCTGTGAACAGCTGAAATAATGTCACTGAGCACCTTTATCAAGTACACGGTTAAACCTTCAGCTACGTGGAAACTCTCTTTCATCCTTGTAAGTGCCAAAGTGTAAGTTTGGCAGAGAGACTCCCTCGTGGAACAAAACAGAAGATGTAAATGCCATATGACTAACATCCATGTATCATGTGGGATTCTCATATTCCCGGTCTGAAGGATTGCATTTCATCTAAGATCAATCACAAGCACGTATACAAAAACATTGCAGGGGGATTGGACTAGATGATCCTTTGAGGTCCCTTCCAATCCCTAACATTCTGTGATTCTGTGATTTATTCCCAAACAAACCTATCCTTTCTACATCGTGACAGTCCGGATCCAAAGGGATCAGTATTTGATACCAAGAAACAGGCCAGTAAATCCCTAGATTCAATCAACCATTTTTCTTGGGGGTGAGAAAAAATTTGCCTCTGAACTGGATGCTGTTTCAGTAGCTTTCAAGCAGTTTTATTCTGATTTTATTATTTTCCTTGCAGCAATGTCCTGTTCATCCTTTTAGCTCTGTTTGCTGAAAAGAGCATTCCTCAACAAAGAGCACGGGAAAACCTTCCAGCTCCCTCCATCTCCTGCAGCCCATTCCCCTCACTTGACAAGCCCACGGGTTGATGAAGTAGATGTTAATTTTAGGTACATAAATAGGGCCTAGGAGATGGGATGCAACTATTTTTTTTAAAAAAATTTGCTTATTATTATTTTTTCCCCTTGGCACAGGCTGTTTGCCTGCCAGCTCTGCAGAGCTGGTCTGTCCTATCACACCAACTTTTCTGGAAGGAGAACGGGCTTTCCCTGCCCATTCATCTTTGGACCCTCTCCAGTTATTTTCCAACTTTTTCCTCCCAAGTACCAATTCCAGTGGAGGACTGACTCATGGCTGCTTTCCTAACTACTGCAAACAGCTGCTGTGTAACTCACCTGGCAGGGACAGAGCTGAGCCTCATCCAAGCTGGGGTCTGTGCTGCCATAGCTGCTTTGGGGAGACACTGTCTTGTAGTTCCCCCAGGATATGAAGTCTCCAAAGCCCCTGCTCCTTCATATCAGATAATTCCTCTTCTCTTCAGGAAGAAAGTTTGTGCCAGGGGTTGTACAGCTGTACATGATGGGGTGGGGATGAGGGAGGACAGGAAGGAGTATTCTGCTCTGCATCACCTGTTTTGTTACCCATTTACTTCTCCCAGTTACAGCCCAAATGACAGGGTTGTGTACAGCATTCAGGACTTGGATGTGGCTCTAAAGTACTTTACTGCTTGACGGATATACCAGAGAACTGAAATGTCTGTACTGCTGAATTGATTCGAGTATCTGCTTACGCTATTTAAAATAGGCATTAACATCCCAGTTTTGCCCACTTTAAGTAATCATAGGGTGGATTATTGCAAGGCAACGCAAAGACCTAAAAGCACATTGTGTTTAGAGTTGCTATATATTTCCCTAAGTGACAAAAAAGTTTCAGTTTTCCATACTTTCCACTGGCCTTGGAGAAATGATTTTCGCTGGCATAAAGCAGTAAAAGACCGTTTACTGTGATCAGAGGGCTGGGTTGTGTTTTAGAGACATGCTTTTTTGGTGCAGTTAGTAAACCACAGTTACAAAAAACTACACTTCTGTTGTAATTATCCCAGTAAAGTCTGTACAGGAGGAGCCAGTACAGCAGTATCCACACAACCCATCCGCAAGAAGAAGCCCTGTAGAAGTCCTCATCCTCAAAATGTAGCACGCGTGAGATAACAGTCCCACAAAAGCCTAAGCATATATTTAAAGTAATGCATTGTGCCAGTGAAATGAGGTATTGATTTACTTAAGATCCATGTCACTTTTTGCAGGATTTGGGCCAAGCCTGCTGTTAGTGTACATATCATAGGTGACCCTGGCCTTTAGGTTATCTTGCTATTGAGAATGCAGTGGGAAATAAAAGCTAGTAAGGGTAAAACTGAGTGTCAGTGCCCTTGTTAGTTTACACAGAGAGTATTTCCAAGACTTTTGACATTTTCGGAGTGGTTTCCTGAGACTTTCTATGGCAAAACTGCCTCAACAACATAAACTTGAATTGCAGGATGTAGCTACTTACACAACAGATTCACAACATTGTTGGTTTTACGGTATTACCACATTATGTAAATGTTCAAGTCGTTCAAGAATTCAGTTTCCCAAGACATTCTTAATATTTAACACTAAAACAGGAAGCAGCCAATTTAGCCAACAAATAGTGAACTGCTGGAATTCATGCCGATATGTATGTATACATGTGAACCATAGAGAGAATACTTTTTGTCATTTTTCACGTGTGTTGGCACCTATGATGGGGGTCATTTCACCAAAATCCGTGCCTTCCTGCTTTGCTCCTTCTGGCAAACTGACTAGAGACAATACACTTGGTTTTCTCCTGCACAAACTTAACTTCAAAGCTTTGAGAGTAGCCATTAAAAAAATCCTCCAAGAGCAGAAGCCACTTGATGCCAAAGCCTTGGAAAGGACAACTACTCCAGGCATTTCATTCCAGTTCTTAGTCCAGGGGCAAAATTCTTCCAGCACTTACCATCATACGTATTTTACAGAATTTTCTTGTGCTTGTAACAGTCAGTTGCATGTACTGCTAATGCTGCAATTTTGGCATTACATTTACTGTTAACATTTTAGAGTCTATAACTTACCAGTTAAAAATTCACACAAAATGTGAATGTGATTATTTGGAAAAAAGTCTTTAAAGAATATACTCTTTAAAAAAAAAAAGACATATTTAGGAACAAATACTTAATCCTTTTCTAGTGAGTAGTTTTGGCATATGTGGAGGTAAAAAAGGTTTCTGTCTTGATTCTGACAAATCTTTGCTACAGCACTGGCTGTGCTTACGCTGACAGGCTGTGCCAGCTATCAGGTGGGCTGTGAGGTAGCTGCTTAAAGGACTGACTCTGGGCTTCCTGATGACATCAAATGAAGCTGAAGATTACAGCAATGACTATCAATTAATAGGACATACTGATAGATGCTACCTGTGGAAAAAAACACATTACTACCTTCTTCTGGGTAGAGATGTATTTTAACTATAACTCTAGATTTGAAGGCTTGAAAGTTTGACTGTTATATCTATAACCAGTATGCTGGATTGTTTCTGTGTTATTGGTACTCAGTGTGTTTGCTGCTTTGTACCTGCATGTGAAAATGCAGACCACTCTGCTTTTCGTCTGTGCCATCTACAGATATAGATGAATGTCGCTACGGCTACTGCCAGCAGTTGTGTGCCAATGTGCCCGGTTCCTACTCCTGCACGTGCAACCCAGGCTTTACCCTTAATGATGACGGAAGATCATGCCAAGGTACTGTGTATGGTAAACCATGACTGAAACCTTGGGTCCCAACCCAGCAACACCCTTAAAACTTGCTTAGTTTTTAGAATACAAGTAACCTTCCCAACACTGCTTTTGAAAAAGTTCATAGGTTTGTCAACCTGAGATAGTTCTGTAGTTTCACAGCACCTTGGAGGGGAACCAGTGCAAGATGACCATTGTGTCAGGAGAAATAAGCAGAGAGTCCCAAGCTGCCTAAAACACAGGCTTAATCAATTCAGCGAAATGACCATGAGTTTAGGCACTGAATTTACTTTCAAAATCTGGAGCTGTGTAACTCACCTGAGGCAGGAAAACTCTGTCGGATCAGTAAATTAGATTTGAGTCTCCTGAGTTCCAGACTAGGGTTTCGAGCATTAGACCACCTTTTGCTGTGATGTGCTACCTCAATCAAAGTCAACACAACCTCTTCGTAAAGACTTTCCCTAGCTAAGCAGGGAGTATCTTCCCACATGCTGCAGGAAATGGACTGTGATAATGATGCCCAGAAGCTGCTAATGTCCTAAAAGGAAAAAAAAAAGGTTTTGTCTTAGCCCTACATTTCTACGAGGACCGTTCCTCATTGTATCATCTTCCTCAGGAATATCCTGCTGCATTTTGTCTCAGATCTGTTATGACAAAATCAGTTCAATGGTTTTAAATGGCAGGACAAAGATAGAAGCATTTGTAATAAATATTTCATCCCCATCTTCCATGTTATTTTTCTGATTGAAGACATTCCCAAAATGCTTCATTTCCATGCATGTTGTGTTTCCAACATGCTATTTTCTGGCATCAGCCTGAATCTCAATAAACAATACTGACTTGGTTATATTTTTTCAGAACAAATCATTCTGAGTGTACAGCTAATCTCTTTGAAATGCTTTACAGTAATGAATTGAAAATAGAGTTTGGGGAGAAGTCACTGATGCGTTGGGCATTGGTTTCCCATAGATGTGAACGAATGTACAAGTGAAAACCCTTGCACTCAGACCTGCGTCAACACCTACGGCTCTTTTCTCTGCCGCTGTGAACCTGGCTATGAACTGGAAGCTGATGGAGTTAACTGCAGTGGTAACTGTCTTTAGTTATTTATTGGTTTGGTTTCTTTAATTCTATTAAGTTTTCTTTTTCCAATGTATTGTTTTGTACATGTTTTTTAGAAAGTTTTTTGCCTTGGTCCATGGTTAGCAGCAGGATAGCTGCAACTCACACAATCTTCCTTCCAGTTAAAGCACATAGCAAATACCTAGAAAAGCACAATGAAGGAGGGCTGCAAATGGTTTAAAAGAAATAAGCTAAATATTAAAAAGCTCCAAGATAACAGCAAACCATAAGAAAATGCTTTGTAATGCTGAGCAGGAAGCTTTATTAGAGCAAGTAAAGTAGGGATAGTCCTAGAACATTCCTCCATTATTAAAGAAATACTTTACATAAAGCACTTTTCCATTTGTCTGTTGAATGCCTGTGTTCCTCTTGCTCTTACGACTGCACACTCCTGCCTGAAACCTTCCCCAGTTTCCCCTGTATGGGTGTGCCTACACTTCAGAAGCAAAATATGGTTTCTTAGTACAGCTATAGCTATTCCGTTCAGCACATAGCAGAAGAAATTGTGCTTATGTCATTGTACTTTTTCCTCTCCTGTTTTTGTTTTTGTTTTATTGCTTTATTTTAATTGAGGGCAAAACTTATTTCTGTGCTTAATGTTCCCATAGCCTGATAAAATTAGAGAATTCAGCCAACATTTATTGGAAGGAAAAATGCACTGGAAAATACTTGGTTTTTAATTTACAGTAAACAGATGTAATATGCTGTTTCTGAGAGACAAGATATGTGATATGCATTATGTGTATAGATTAGTGAAACTGATGTGTTATGGTCTAGACAAGTGTTCTGTGCAGTGGGTGGGGAACTGGCTGACAGGCCGCTCCCAGAGGGTGGTGGTAAATGGCTCCTTTCCAAACTGGCAACCTGTCACAAGTGGGGTCCCCCAGGGCCCAACGCTGTTTAGTATCTTCATAAGTGACCTGGATGATGGGATCAAGTGTAAACTGATGAAGTTCGCTGATGATACCAAACTGAGTGGGAAAGTGGACACTTTGGAAGGGAGAGTCACCCTGCAGGAAGACCTGGATAGGCTGGAAGAGTGAGCTAACCTTATGAAGTTGAGCAAGGACAAGTGTAAGGTCTTGCACCTGGGAAAATATAATCCAGGAGTGCAGCAGAGGCTGGGATCTACCCGACTGGGAATCAGCTCTGTGAAAAGGGACGTGGGGTCCTCGTGGACAAGCTCAATATGAGCGAATAGTGTGCTGCTGCAGCAATGAAAGCCAACAGGATGCTGGGATGCATCAACAAAAGCATCACCAAGCAGTGACAAAGAATCATAGAATCATAGAATCATAGAATGGTTTGGGTTGGAAGGGACCTCAAAGATCATCTAGTTCCAGCCTCCCTGCCATGAGCAGAGACACCTTCCACTACACCAGGTTGCCCAAAGCCTCATCCAACCCGGCCTTGAACACTTCCAGGGATGGGGCATCCACAACTTCTCTGGGCAACCTGTTCCAGTGCCTCACCACCCTCACAGTGAAAAATTTCTTCCTTATATGTAATCTAAATCTCCCCTCTTTCAATTTAAAGCCATTGCCCCTTGTTCTATCACTACACGCCCTTGTAAAAATTTCCTCTCCAGCTTTCCTGTAGGCCCCCTTTAAGTACTGGAAGGCTGCAATAAGATCACCCCGGAGCCTTCTCTTCTCCAGGCTGAACAGCCCCAACTCTCTCAGCCTGTCTTCATAGCAGAGGTGTTCCAGCCCTTGGATCATCTTCGTGGCCCTCCTCTGGACCTGCTCCAGCAGCTCCATGTCCTTCTTGTGTTGGGAAGAAGTCATTATTTCACTCTACTCAGCACTTGTCAGGCCACATCTGGAATACTGTGTTCAATTTTGGTCCCCGCTATACAAAAAAAGATGTGGACAGGCTGAAGAGAGTCCAGAGAAGGGCCACAAAGATGATCAAAGGACTGGGAAGCTTGTTGTATAAGGAAAGGCTGAGACAACAGGGTTTGTTCAGCATTAAGAAAAGGAGGCTTAGGGGAGATCTTATCACCATGTTCAAGTATTTAAAGGGTGGCTTCAAAGAAGATGGAGACTCCCTTTTTACAAGGAGTCACATGGAAAAGATGAGGAGTAATGGGTACAGGTTACTCCTGGGGAGATTCCGATTGGACGCAAGAGGAAAATTTTTCACAATTAGAACAATCAACCATCGGAATAATCTCCCCAGGGAAGTCGTGGATTCTCCAACACTGGATGCTTTCAAGATTCAGCTGGAGAGGATGCTGGGCCATCTTGTCTAGACTGTGCTTTTGCCAAGAAAGGTTGGACCAGATGATCCTTGAGGTCTCTTCCAACATAGTATTCTATGACTCTATGATTGATGCCATGATTCTATGATCAGGGTTTCAAAAGCTGTTCTTCCCTGCAAACCTCCTTATTATAAGGGAAAAAAAGCGAGACTTAAATATCTAAAGGGTATTATGCATTTAACATTTAATGTAGCAACACCTGACTTAAGTTTTCTGCTTTCTAATGGAGTTTCTGCTTCTAAGATAGACTCCTGCACCTTTTTACGTGCTCCTGAGCTAGTTGGGGCCCTGAACAGTTAAGTTCAATGCAGTGCCACATAAGTATTGCCAGTACAAAACGGTGATAGAAGAGGTGATTCTTCAGCCTCATTAATGTCTGAGAGTTAAGCCAGCAAAAGAGACTTTCCACCACCCAGATGTAGAGCAGAAAACCTTTTTTTGACAATTTTGGGCAGGAAAATGCTGGTCAAAGCAGGTCAAATTTCTCTTGATGAGTTTCTTTCATTTCACAAGCAATCACTAGACATTGCTGAGACTTACGAACGGACTGCCTGGTTAGGAGGACACTTCTATGAGACACGCAGGATCCAGATGTACTTTAACAGCTGCTGGACTAGCCCAAGGCATAGCAGCCAGCTTACCTTCAAGATGGGAGGCATCCCTTGCCCAATTCAAGGAGAGAGGCAGAGATTTCAACCTGGCTTTCCCAACTTCGACATTATTTTCTGATCATAGAGGTCTTGCATGTGCTCTGAAACGCCTAGCACCTTGTCCTCTGCAGGTAGTCAGCAGAATGGCAGAAATGTTTAGAAATAGCAAAGGTGTATCTGTCCTGGGTGGGTGCAGCAGCAGAAATGTAAGACTCTTGGGGCTTTAAGTCCTTCCAGCACTTGACAGCAGCTGAGCACAGGTTATATGAATCCAATGTGCTAGAGGTATGGGCTAGGACACCTCGAGGGGATGGGGGTGCATGATATCTCGGTTCTTTTATGGAGTCGGCCCTCAGTCCATGTTTTGTCAGAAAGGTGTTTTTTTCAGCAAACTCGCTTGGGCAAATCACACAATAACAGGACTAGGGAGATGTAGAGGTCCTTTCATCTCCCTTTTGACAACGTGGTTGCAGCCACAAAGCCACTTTAACATATTCGGACTTCAAATACTTTCCAATCCATCTGTACAAAACACAAAAAGTGGATAAATGGACTGAGCTCAATTTAGAAGAAAGGGAAATTCAGTCTGAAGAGTAAAAGTGATTTTCCTGGGAGAGTCAACATGTCAGAGCTGGGAATAAGAACTTGGGAGTTCCTGGCTGGGGCTCTGGCCTTTGTTTCTTTCTTCGCCCGAACATGGAAGTAAGGAAATGATTAACTGCAGTCTCCCTCAGTCTAGCGCCTTTGCATGTGTTTCCCCTCAGTCAGCCATGCGTCCATGCACAGCACTGAAGTTTGTCTTTCTTTCTTGAGCACAGTTCCGCAGTATACAATGACTGGTCAATTCATGAGCGCAAGGGGAAAAGAGCACAATTTCTGCATTCAATCAGAGATTTGACAGACTGCTTAGCTTCCTGGGTATCTGGGAGAAGGTTGGGCCTTCCAGTAGGTCTGACCTAAGCTGGGATGAGCTCTATAGTCTTGCTGGAATGACTTGGAAGCAACTGGCTAGAGGCTAAGAAACATAAAACAGCTGGGGTTGGCTGCAGGAGTTCTGCTGGGACCCATGTGGCTCTGGGAAAGGGAAGTCTGCTCTCCAGAAAAAAAGAAAAAAAAGAAAAGAAAATCACTGCCAAGTCTCTCCTTTCAACTTACAGTTGCAGCTTTGTTGTTGGAGTAGCTCTATCTCTGACGTAAAACAGAACTGAAAACATGGCCAGCTGGTGACAGGTATTTGAAAAGAAAAATAAATAAATAAAGCCCATGCATTGTGTTCAGCAGCAGCTTTGGTTTCCCTAGGAAAAAATGTTTAACCAAGAACTTGTTGTATAGCATTTTGCTGGGTTGCTGCAGAGCTCTAGGGAGCTGGAGAGTGCCAATCTCCAGCTGGGGTGATGGGCACGTAGTCTGGATGGCCACCTGCCTGTGGGACTGCTCTTTTGACTGTAAAGCCAAAGACACTAAACTTTGTTTTACCACTGCAGACATGGACGAATGCAGCTTCTCAGAGTTCCTCTGCCAGCACGAATGTGTGAATGGGCCTGGTTCTTACTACTGTATCTGTCCTTCGGGCTATAACTTGCTTGATGATAGCAGAAGCTGCCAAGGTAAGAACATTGCTGCGCTGATTAAAACCCAAGGGGACCAGAAAATAGGTCCTGTGTCTGGAAAGAGGTTTTCAAGGATTCAGATGCTTGGTCTTGGCACTGCAGAGTGAAATACTCATAGGGGCCAATTATGTAATTCTGTTAAGAATGTCATCATGCGAATAGTTCCACTGAGGTGAAGTGGTGTGTTGGTGTAAGTAAGACTTTACTGACCAGGAAACAGCTACACAGGAAAGCCCTCAGATGCTCTCTTCTCTGCTCCACATCTCTTTAGTTTTCCTGTTCTCTAAGTTCAGAGAGCTTGAGCAGCCAAGTTCTTTTCTATTTTTGCAGCACTTAGCACATGGGAGCACTCCAATAAGCAGAAATGAGTGGAGTGAAAACTGATCTTAAAAGAGGGGCCAGTTATCAAAAGGCCACTTCTCATGGGCAAGGGTGTTACAAAGTTTGGGGCAGTTAAGATAGAAACCAGAAAGACAGAATTAAGATAGAAACCTTAAGATAGAAACCAGTCTGTAAGAGTGGTGCCTTGCTTGTATTTCCCTGCTTTAGCCTTTCTCTTGTTTCTTGTGTTTTAGATATCAATGAATGTGAAAACAGAAACTTCACCTGCACTCCGCAGCAAACATGTTTCAATATCCCAGGAGAATATAAATGTTTAGACCCAGTAAGATGCGAGGATCCTTATATCCAGATTAATGAGAAGTGAGTAACATACCTACAGCCACAAAAGCAAATTCTATCTGTGTCAAGTGTATCTCGAGTGAACCAAACAAGCTGCATTTTTACAACACGGCCATGAAGTGTGTCTACAGAGCTATACATACATGCTGTTGCTGCGTTTACCATTGGTTAGCTTTATAAAAATAATAAATTGCAATTCCTTACCGGGTCACCAGGTGGGATATGATATGATATGATACTCAGATGTGTGGAAAATTAGACTGGAAAAACACTTATCAGTGAGTAGCGAAAACAGCAAGGTTTGTAATGTAACGAGAGACATGTACTTATATTACTAACTGACTTCACACAAGCTCAAATGCAGCCTGTTTATTAGTATGAGTATTTCCTGTAAATATTAACTAGCTTATGTCTGGGAAGTACTTTGAAACATTAGATGATAGTTGTAGCAGGATGCAAGTAGTTTCCTACTGCTTAAAGGTTGAAAGTGCTGAAAAGTCCACAGACTGACTTGCCTTGTCCAGAAATTGAATACGTCTGGATGGGTCTATTAGCATTGTTACTGACTAAATTTGGAATCATTTGAGCAAGAAAGAAAAAAAAATCCCACATTTCTAAATATTGCCTGTTTCTTTTACATTTTTGTAGCTACTTGTCTGGAGCTTAAAATATTTCACCTCCCAACAGATCTCTATAATCACAGCCCATAGCATTTCATCAATAGTGTCTGCACTAAACCCAATTGCTTGGGATTGCTTGGTAGCCTAATGTATTTTATAGCAAGAGATGAAGAATCAACTTCTTTCCATTATAATTCCTTCATGTCTTTACATTGCTTTCTGAACTAGGGCAGCTGAGGAGTGGACACAGCTATTCTTGCAGTTCTGGGTTTACTGACCTTCAGAGGTGGTAGAGTCTTAAACTGGAATTTGAAATACCTGAAGCCTCTGTATCTAAATTCCCCAGAGCCCAACTATAGAGTCCTCACAGATCAGCTCGCACCAGAACTCTTGATCTCTGAGCTTTGTGTTCAGTGGCTTTAGTCCATGTCTAGATGTGACTGCATTTAATTTGTGACATATGTCTAGAAGTGGTCAGTATACAAGCCAAGTGAATTCCTTGCATCTGTGTTTTCTGTGGAAGGAATTGGGTGTTTGTAAAGCCAGGAGCCTTTTTATGGGGGACATGCCAGATGAACTGTCTGAAATTTATGTCAGTAGTGGAGGTTATAGAAAAAATAGGCAAAAAGACCCAACTCTTTTCCAGTAAATTCCCCTACAAGGCATTTATAAAGGGACATCCTGCCTTACAACCTTATTAGAGTTCTCTGAAGAAATCAGCAGCATGTGGCTAGGGCACATAGGTTGATGCTGTCCGTTTGGATTTCCACAGGCTTCTGAAAAGAACCTCGTGTAAGGTTATTATGGCAATCAAGCATCCAGAAGTAAGAGAACAGAAGAATAAGAGGCTGAAAGATAAAAAATAAATAGAGTATGGTATTAAATTGTCAGCTTTCACAGTGAAGTTCTGCAGAAGTCTGAGCTGGACCTGTTTTGTCCAACATATTTGTAAGCAACCTGGAAAAAATGATACACCATGAGATGGGCAAAGTCCGCAACAGTGTCTGAGGACAGTAAAGAAAAGGGTGGGCAGAAAAGAGTTGCAGAAGGAGCCTCAATGACTGTGCAATTAAAATGGCAGATGAAATTCAGTGAAGATGAATGTAAAGTAAAAAGAAAATCCCAAAGTACAGATTAAATAAAGAGCACTGATCTGGCCATAATGTGTCCAAATTGAGACTTCAGGGTCGTTATAGATAGCTCCATGATCCGCAGTACTCACTAGTGGTCAGAAAAGCAATCTGAATTTGAGGTGTTAATAAGTAGAGAATATCCTCAGAGCATGTGCCATTGTGTACCCATATCCTCAAGTCTGTGCAGTTCCTTCCCCTCCTCTCAAAAGATACATAACTGGACAAAGGTTCATAAAGAGCAATGAGGATGATCAGAAGTACGGACTAGCTTCCTTGTGAGAAACAACTAAGATAGGACTCTTCAGCCATGAACAGTGTCAAAAATGAAATCCTGAGTTGCTTGAGGAGGATGAGCAGGGATTGACTGGCTGCTCTCCTTTCACTGGAAGAGCTGGGAACATCAAAGTCAGCAAGGGGCAGTGCAGAGGTGAAGGGGGCTGTGGAGCTCCTGGGCAGAGTGGGCTGTGGATGCCCAACATTCATGTGGTATACTGGGAAGGTGGGCAAGCTGATGGATAATAAATGCATTAAGGACTGATGAATACACAGAACACATCTTTGTTTCAAGAATTTCCTGAGTCACAAACAGTTGGAGGCTGCTGGTGGAAATGTCATATGCTTGGCTTGCTATCCTCTTCTTCCTTAAGGCTCTGCATTTGATGCTAGAGCTTTGGTTTGATCCAGGATGTCTCGCTGTATGTTTACATGTAGTATATAAAAGATTGTTAAACAAAGAATGCAATATTTATGTAGCAACATCAATGAAATGATCTGATAATTGACATTATTCCGGGGACAGCTCAGTTAAAATTACTATCAGAAGAAACACATCCTGGCCGTTCTGCATCTGCAGAGCTGCTTTAAAGAAAGTACCGATTTTCAAGTGATCGAAGGAGACAAAGGATGCCAAGATATTTTTGCCTAGGAGACAAGAAAAAGAAGGTAGGGATGTAGGTAGGCCAGAGTAGCAACACAGAGAATACTAAAAGTGAGCAAATTCATTACAAGTTTCATTGTTCCTTTTAGCGGGTCAACAACATTATTTGTTTATTTATTTAAGCAGCTGTATTTGCATATAAAGAATGAAATATTACAGCAATTTATAACCCCTGATGACAATCCTATCTCTGACAACTAGTCGCTGCATGTGTCCAGCTGAAAACGCCGGTTGCAGAGATCAGCCATTCACCATCTTGTACAGAGTGATGGATATGGTGTCCGGGCGGTCTGTGCCTTCTGACATCTTTCAGATGCAAGCAACAACTCGCTACCCTGGAGCCTATTACATCTTCCAAATCAAATCAGGGAATGAGGGCAGAGAATTCTACATGCGGGTAAGTCTGGCACTCACTGTGAGAAAACACGGAGTAGCTTCTCGTTAGCTGAATATCCATAGAATCATAGAATCATAGAATCATAGAATGGTTAGGGTTGGAAGGGACCTCAAAGATCATCTAGTTCCAAACCCCTGCCATGGGCAGGGAAATCCTCCTCTACACCAGGTTGCCCAAAGCCTCATCCAGCCTGGCCTTGAACACTGCCAGGGACGGGGCATCCCCAGCTTCTCTGGGCAACCTGTTCCAGTACCTCACCACCCTCAATGTAAAGAAAGAATTTCTTTCTTATATCTAACCTAAATCTGCCCTCTTTCAGTTTAAATCCGTTGCTCCTTGTCCTATCACTACACGCCCTTGTAAAAAGTCCCTCTCCAGCTTTCCTGTAGGCCCCCTTTAGGTACTGGAAAGCTGCTATAAGATCACCCTGGAGCCTTCTCTTCTCCAGGCTGAACAGCCCCAACTCTCTCAGCCTGTCTTCATAGCAGAGGTGCTCCAGCTCTCTGATCATCTTCGTGGCCCTCCTCTGGACTCGTTCCAGTAGCTCCATGTACTTCTTGTGAAGGTATCCATCTGGTAGCAGAACTCAGTTTTTAATGAATATCATTTAAACTTTCAGCATGAGGCATTTTTAGATGTAGACATGGAAAGTGGTGTGCTGATCTGCAGGGGCTGCTGGCTCTTTCAGGAAGGTAATCTGTCCAAAGCAAACATGCTTGTTTTATGAGACCTTAGGTTCAGGAAAGTCTGGGGCTCTACCCATGTCTAAGAATAGCTCAAGTCTTCTATGCTCAAGAGAAACTATTGTGTGAAACCCTTTTTTTGTGATGGACAGTCAGTAATCGTCACTGAAAGAGTCAATGTTTCTCATTTATTTTATTGAAATCTTCATTAGAAATTGAAAAACTCGAAACCCCAAAAAGGAAGCAAAAAAACCCCCTTTATTCCAAGAATTTACTTTCTAGATTCTTTGCTTTCATTTGTTACGTATTTTTTTTTCACTGAGAACACACATTTTATGTAGACACTGTTAGAGAAAACACAACTACTTTTTTTTTATTTTAATATGAATTTTCCTCAGAAGACGTCTCCGTTCCCCAGTCATCTTCACTGCACCTGTGACACGCGGGGGTGATGGGAAGTGTCTGCACAGAATGAGGCACAGCCACCAGGGATGGTGGCATTCAGAAGGTTGACTTTTAACCCTGGGCACAACCTGGCTTTGATACTCACATTTAGTGATGTTCAGTGGCCATTGATGGTTCCCACACCTCACAGAAACAGATAGTGCGATAGATTCCAATACACATTTCTCATGAGAGCCTCAGATTCTCACCTTAAAAAAAAGGAAAATGTTTCAAAATCCTGAAATGACAAGAGGTTCAGGAACGATCATTTATACCTCACAAGAGCTTTCCTGTTGCAAAGTCATTACTGCTCCCACCAACCTTTTCCCCTCATCTGGGTCGATCCACCAGACGGTAAGGCTCCAGCGACCAGCATCGCTGCTGGAGTCTGCTAGTTTTCTTTTCTTTCTTTATCACACACCCAGCCACGTGCCACCCACAGCGCTCGGCTTGCACAAGCTGCCCTTTTCCCTCCGCCGGCAGCAGCCCTGCTCCCTCAGGCTGGTAGCCAGCAGGTGGTGCCTGTTCGTTGCCTTGGGAAGAGCGAGAGCAGCGGGCGGGAAGGGAAGATGCGCTGGGGAGGAGCGGGGCGGCGGGGCCGCTGCTCCCCGGGAGCGCCCGCGGGCCGGCCCGGGCAGCCCGCCCGGCTCCACCTGGCGCCTTGGTCGGGCTTCTCTGATCAGAGATTACACAAACGCCCGGTTTCGAGGTAAAACAGGTCTTGCTTTGCGTGCGTAAGTTTCTGGTGGAAAACAAATGGCACTTCGTTTTAACGTCAGAAGCTCTGGGGTTTAAATGCTTATAATCCACTGTTCTGGCCAGATACTTCAAAGGTCTGCTTCCACTTACCAAAAGACAGATTTTCTGAAGTGCCTTCACATATTTAAAGCTCTCTTCAGAGGGTAAGGTTTTGTGACGTTAACATATGCAATTATACAACAAACCCCGATCCTGTTCACGTGGGAACATCTGTTCTCCAAGTTCTGTTAACATAACCCCTTCTTGGTGTTCGCTGCCTCAAAGTAACAGTGTTCTTTACATCAAACAAATTAATATCTCACACAAAAAAAAGAAGTGTCACTACTTGTTTATACCCTAAATCCGTGTTTTCATCTTTTTCCATTTGAACAATAGCAAATTTCTGTCTTCAATAGCTCCTTTTGTGTGGGAGGCTCCCAAAGGCTTTACAAGCTGTAGAAGGTGATAGTTCATGCAAAACACTGAAATGGAGCCAAATGCTGAAAGGAAGCTATCTTTCCTGTGAATTGCAGTGGTCTCAAGCACTGCAACAGAAAAGTTTTTTCGGTTGCTTGAAGACCATAGTGAGATAATAGTTTTCAAGAGCTGTTTTTGAAAATCTCACCTACTTTCTCTTTTTTTGTGCACAGCAAACGGGACCGATCAGTGCTACCCTGGTGATGACTCGCCCCGTGAAGGGGCCCCGTACTATTCAGTTGGACTTGGAAATGATCACTGTTAACACTGTCATCAACTTCAGAGGAAGCTCTGTCATCCGGCTGAGGATATATGTATCACAGTACTCCTTCTAAACCTTGAGTTTGTGTCCTGGAAACATTAAACCAAAAGAGACCGTTCCTCCTCTGCAGAACTCTCTCCTCAGAAGCCAGTACGTATAGCAGCTCCAAACCAAATCAGTATTTCCACAGATCCGGTGACCTATGCCTGTCTGAGGAGGGAGGCCTCTTCATGCTCAGCCTCTACCAGGATGCAGACATCTGAAGATGCGTTGTCAGCCGATCGCATATGATTCTTTATGTGGTCACATATTTTAAGGACTCTTCTTTCCATTGTAAACACTTCTAGGGTATGAGTCTATGTTTGAAAGACTGTGAACCTTTGTAGCTCCAAGGCTGCTTAGCAAAAAAAAGCACCAAAGAAACTGAGGAAAAAGCTGGCTTTTGCAATCTTGCTTTTTTTTTTTTCCTTTCATTATAAATGGAAAGCAGACAAACAAGCAGAAACAGAAACAGAAAGCCACCTATTGAAACAAGGGATCTCAGAAGTGCTAACTTAAATTCCAAATTATCTCTGGAGTTATCAGTCAGGCACTTTGTCTCAATTCACCCTGCATTTGTCTTAGTTTCACCTGCTTTTTCTTTGATTCTCTTTTGTAGTTAAAATTAATTGTAAATTCATTCCAAAACACATGTTGTACTATGTAATCTTCTACTTTCTAACAAAGTGTCACATATTTGGGTTCGTTCCTGTATTAAATCTTTCTATATAACAGAGTTCATAGAAATCTATCACTGGATGGTATGTTTTAAATATTTAGGATGTTATGCTTATTTACACCCAGGCTCTTTGACACAGGCCTCCACTGCCAGAATAGTGTCCAGGGACTTTGAGAGAAGATACGAATCAGAACTTAATTCTTCCCTTTTTTCCTTGAGTGTGATAGTTGAAAACAGGTTGTAATGGTTATAAGGCAGTGATACTAACTCTGTAATTAAGGCTGCAACCAATCTCCTGTTCAAAGACCACTCAGCTCACACTCGTCCAAATTCCCTCAGAAAAAATAAATTGTTCTGTTCACGTGCAGTCTCTCTCCTACATTCCTAACATTGGGAAAAATAAGCCGAAAAAGACTTGGAGCAGTCTTATTGTTCATGTCTCTGCCACAAAGCAGGCCCCACTATACCAGGACCTCAATCAATGGGATCCCACAATTTCCATAGGCAATATCTTCTCAGGTGTAACTGCTGTAACCAATAGAAAGTTTCTCCTAAAGTCTAATCTGAATCTCTGCTGTTGTAATTTAAATCCATTGCTTTTTAGCCTACTTCCAGTAGAAATAGAGAACAGTTTATCTTCCCCTTTGCAGGAGTCTTTAACATGTCTGAAGACTGTTGTCATGTCTCCCCTCAGACTGTTCCTCTCTAGTCTAAACAAACCCAATTCTTTCGGTCTTTCCTCATACATCACATTTTCTGGACCTTTGATCATTCTTGTTGCTTTCAACTGGATTCTCTCCAGTTGGTTCACATCTTTCTTGAAGTGCAGTGCCCAAAACTGTGAAAAGTATTCCAGCTGAGGCCTCACAGTGCTCAGCTAAATCTATATATATGTTTAGGAGTTTGGAAAAAAAAGGGAAAAAAAAAAGCATACTTTGGAGATAAAATGCTTACCTTGTTGAAGCCACTGACAGTTTGGTCTTTTATTTTAGTAGGGATGAGGGTTCATATGCCTTGTTCTTAAAATTTCTCTGAAGCAAGCTCTTTTGTTTCTTCCCCCTGCATTTTCCTTATTGGCTTAATTGCTCTCCAGCATCACTAGGGCGGGCAAGATTAACCTTTGCTTCGTCTTTTTGAGGGCTGGAAGTGCTTCATGCTACTTGGGAAAAGGAGTGTATGCAGATTATAATGTGAGCAGGCTGGAGCAGAGTAGAAACATTCTGTGAGGTCTTTGCTAAAGTGGAGTATTAAGTGGGAGAATACAGACTCAGGAAGTTATCACAACACAGGCTGCATCACAATCAGAAAATTGACTCTCTTGCTCCTAATAAGCTTTGTGAGTTAGTCTGGAGTGGTTTTTCTCAAGCTTTAGTAGAGACTCTGCTCTTTTTACTTGTACTCAGCTTGAAGGAAGCCCTGATGCAATGGCTCACAGCAATGAAACGCTGAGTTGAGTGTGCTTTAGCAGCTCCCATTTCTTAATGATTGAAAGTTTTCTCCATGCTGCTACAACATCCTGGAATCCTGTGGCTCAGAGCTCTGTACACACGCTGTCCTTTATTGCAAAACCAAAAAACCTGGAGCCTGACTCCAGAGTATAGTGGACCAAGCTGAGGCCAGGAAGCCAATGAATTTTGTGAGTAGCCAACTCGGAGGAGATAAATGTAGAGGAAATGTGAAGAGAAATATCAGAAACAAGAATGTGTTTCCTGAGTGTATCATGGCTCATTGTATACCACAGTCTTCGAGGGGAAAATAGAGATGACCAGGAAGGAGGAAGGCTAGTTTATAACCATGAGACTAAAAGTGCTCCTGTGTTCCACATGATGGAAGTGACACACAGGAAACAAGCAGACTCTGGTGGCCCAGTGAGCCAACAAGGAGCAGGCAGTGACTTGCATTAAAGACATTAAACTCTTAACATGCTGAAAGTTTCCCCAGTGCTTAAAAGCTGCTTTCCCCCCATTTTGTGCCCCTATGTTATGGCTTATTCATGCCCAGTTGAGGAGTCCTCTCTCTTCCTGCCATCACATCACCTCCTGGAGAGGAAGCGCACCCTGTTACACATCAGACAGTTTCTCACTTTTGGGCTGTTCTCTCATGGCCCCCACATACCAACCTGATTTAACCCTAATTTAGAAATATCAAAACCCAGAGGAATTCCATAACAAAACACTTTGTTAAAAGAGTCAAGCTCGAATGCTTGGTTTTAGCAGGGTCCAGAAAATACTCATAGAACAATATTACACTTTCTATATAAACATTCTGCGCCTTAAAAAAAAAAAAGTGAAAAGTCTGGAAACTGCCCATGGCAGGGGGGTTGGAACTAGATAATCTTTGAGGTCCTTTCCAACCCTAACCATTCTACGATTCTATGATTCTATGAAATAAAGGAATTCAGCCACTTCTCAACCGCCATAACATCTTTCATCACTTGCTATCACTTCAGCCAACTTTAACTTTGCCAAAACATATGCCAATCTCAAAATAATAAATTACTAGCAGTTTATAACATCTAAACTCTCCATTTCCTAGTCAGGGGTCTGTTTCCAATAGACCATCACAGGCTCATATATTACAGCAATTCTCACCAAATAAAAAAAAAGGACTATATACGTCAAGTTTTTACAGCATGAAAGTTAAAAATGCAAACTTGCAACTGCTGTATACGTTCTTGTTCTCCTTTGAGGCTGGGCCTCCCTAAAAGCAGACAGAATTTCAGGTCAGCTAAGAAAATTATTCTTTATTCTATTCTATTGCAGAGGATTTTCTGACACAAAGAGTTTAACCATATGGTTAATAGAGAATATCCTGACCAGCACCAGATGAGGGCACTGACCCTGGCCTGGGTATGTGTGGCTTCCCTCTGGCTCTGCTCCAACATGCTCCTTGCTCAGAGTGGCAGAGCTGTTTCCTGGCTGAAGTGGGGAGGCACAGCTCTTTGCCTCTCCTGCCTGCCCGTTGTCCTGTCTGTTTAAATGAAGATCCTCAGGAGAAAGATTGCCTCTCACTGTGTGTTTGTGCAGCACCTATTGCCAGTGCAATAATTAAAATAAAAGTAAACAAAAAGCAGAAATGGCAGTAATCTGTGATACAGATCACAATGACTGGGAAGGAGAATCTATCCTGATAAACGAACCAAGTGATTCATGCTAGTTCGGTTAGGGGCCTCAGCTCCTTTTCTCACAGCCAAGGCAGATCCGTTATTTCCCTGCCAGGTTCCTCTGCAACCACCATCTGTACAACAAGCTCTTCATGTGTTTTGCTGGAAATGCAGGCACTGCTGTTGGCTGGTCTGCTGCTTTTGTACTACCACCATCAGCACTCCCCTCCCCGCAATGTCAGTAGGCACCCTTACAGCAAAGTGTTAGGTCTGAATGGCTGAAGGGATTGCCCAGCCTGGTACAGTCTGGCTTCATGAAGAGAATTAGAAAAAAAACCCACAGACCCCCAGCTTTGAAGGCGATAGATGATCTTTTGTGTCCTGATGAGTCACTTTTCTCCTGAAATGGCATCTATATCATGCTGACTTGATAGTCTCAAGGCTTTTTAAGAGGCCTGATAAGGACATGCTTATGCAGTACATCCTTAGGCTCTTCACACCTTGGATGAGGTTTTCCCAGTTTGAAAACAGTATCTGGCCCAGTCAGAGAGAGTGCAATGTGATCACCACTATGCTGAAATCAGTGATCACTAACCACCTTACATCAGGTCTGGATTTAGCCCAGTTTTTTTTAAGTCTTGAATCTCAGTGTCAGTGGTATAAATGTAAACAGATATGTATTATTTTTACAGTAGACCTGAAAGATTGTTTCCAGTAAATAAACAGTAATATGACTGCAGTATCTCTTTCTCTGTGGGAACTATCTTTGGGTACTTTAAGATTTCCTGAGATATTCTTTGATACTTCAAAATTTCCTCTCGTAGTTCAAGCCATTCATTACTGCATTTCAATGAATGATTCCTCAACCTTGTTCTTCAATGATTCCTCAACCTTGTTCTTCAAAGGCACTTGACTCTACATATTTTCAAAACATCAAGCTACACCCAAGCCTTTGCAGAGTCATGGCTCATGCATCATTCATAGAAACTGTTCCTCTCTGTAACCTATAGGGGATTATGTTGACTTCCTTGAGATTCTGCAGTGTTCAAAGTACTGCATGTGCACGTGTTTTTCAAGACTGGGACCTTAGTCTGGAGATTGTTCATCAGCAACTTGCTGCAAATGTTCCGTCTTCAACATGTGAAATCATAGCTACAAAGGTTAGTTTTGACAAAATCCTCAAAACGTACAGTGTTTCCTGGCTGCCTACACATAACACAAATAGAATTCAAAAGTCCAGCACCAGAGTTCTCCAGTATCCATAAGAAATCGCTATTTTTAAGAACCTTTTTAGTCAGTAAACTCATTTTGCAGATGATGTGAAATGCAAACAAAGAGGCAGAAGGCCAGCCAAGATTACACAGATTTGTTATTTAAATCAGTATCCACAAGAAAACCTGAATCTAGTTCATCATTTAAAAATATGTCTTTGGACTCTGACATCTGATACCATTTAGATAGAGGAGGGGGACAGAAAAGTTGGCTGCTTCCAAAACAACAGCGACGGCTCTACAGACATCGCAGGGCTCCTACAGTGATCAGAAAGACTTGTCAGGCCAAGTCTGGACCCCAGGTCCATGAGGAAGGCAGAAAACGCATAGAGACATGTCCTCACCTGGAGGAGACATACCTTCATTGGCTTCTTAATGATGTCAAGTGGAGATTTACCTCGTCATGTGTATACAGTTTCTCACTGTGTTTATACATATATAGAAAATGTAAAATAACAGGTCATATGTATGTTGCCTATAACATACATACGACCAGCAGCAAGGTCTAATGTATCCTTCTGCCATTCCTCAGGGTTGTGCTCCCTTAGAATTATGCAGTCTGATTTGGTGTGATTTACTATGGTGTAAGTGACAGCACTCAGTTCACACCAGTGAACAGTCATTTCCATAGATGAAAAAAGAGAATTATTGAAGGATAAAATTACAATTGAGCCAGAGAGTTAATAAAAAAAGAGT